GTAGTATGGAAAAGAAGAGGGGGAGAAATCGCCTGCTGCGGCACGTGCCAAGACTGTGTCTATATTACATGCCAATACGACAATGCCAATACTACAAATTTCTTGTACATCAAGAAGAAGAGCACGTCATATCTAAGTGATGGAACACCTCCATATAGTCTCTTATTTTCTAATACATTCCCGAAAGATTCGATTTCGACGAAATATATTCTCATGGACATATCCCTCTACATATGTAATCCCTTGCCTTTGGTCTACTATCACGATTATTCAAGCAGACTCCATTATGGGATAGTTTGATATATTCAGCTCAAAAGTATCTATGGTATGGTCATAGCTCCTCTTGTGCCTGGTTTTCTATAGTCCTATCTCATTACGCCGATTATCAATTTCTTCGGTGTGTATCGGTACATGGCAAGCCATAATTATTGCTTATATAATCATTAGCTAAGAAAATGCCAATGTCTTCTGAGACAGCCATCTCGCAATTAATCCATCCGTATTTTTCTTGCCTGCATAACCACAATTAATCTTGGTCTTATCCTAAGCCCACCCACCATCATGGTCAATTTGTTCTATTTTTTCACGTACTATCAAAGTTCACCATTCCTATTACATTCTCTGACCTTTATTATGCCTCTCATGATTTCCCTAGAACCGATATTCCTTATCGGTATTATTAACTGTCAATCTACATTTCCAACTTTAAACTTTTGGCGTGCAGAAATCTAACTTCTGGAGTTGTTTTTGACGTTAATGCGGTTCTTTCATTCTAGAAGACTAATATGATGCGTTATCAACCGGCAGGGCCAAGATAGTTATGTAGCCCGCGACACGTAACTTTAATCATAAAATAGAGCGAATACAGAAGAGGTCACATGTATGCCCCATAATATGCTTCTTGGCCTTCTTGGCTGATAGGTCTAATATATAAATGTGCAAATATACGGGGTCAAAGAAAGAACTGATTACTATTTTCAAGGTATAAAGAAAAATAGAGAACTACCTAATGAGTTTTAGTTCAGCAAGTTCAGAATTAGAGAAGAAAAATGACCACATGAAGGATGAATTCCAGCCGTACAGGATGAGCATCGAAGAAGTTGCTGCACATTTTGATACGGAGATTGAAAATGGGTTGACCTCTTCGAAAGCAAACACTATATACGACACTGTTGGAGGTAATAACTTAGGAGAAGATGAGAAGATCTCGTACTCCAAGATATTAGCACATCAAATGTTCAATGCGATGATTTTAGTTTTGATTATATCGATGGTTATTGCATTAGCAATAAAGGATTGGATTTCCGGTGGGGTGATTGGATTTGTTGTTTTCATTAATATCCTGGTAGGGTTTGTCCAAGAATTGAAAGCCGAAAAAACAATGGGATCCTTAAGATCCTTAAGTTCACCAACAGCATTTGTAACAAGAAACGGAGATGATGTGACCGTTCCAGCCGAAGAGGTGGTTCCAGGAGATATTGTGCATATCAAAGTGGGGGACACTGTTCCTGCTGATTTACGTTTAGTAGACACCATGAACCTTGAAACAGATGAAGCTTTGTTAACAGGTGAATCGTTACCTATAGGTAAGGATCATAATGAGATCTATACTGATAGATCTGTTCCTATCCCAGTCGGTGATCGTCTTAATATTGCTTTCAGTTCATCTGTGGTTTCCAAAGGTCGTGGTAAAGGTATTGTGGTTGCTACAGGATTAGACACGGAAATTGGTACTATTGCTCAGTCGTTGCGTGGTAATGATGGCTTGATCAGAAAAGTTGATAAATCAAATGATCGTAAGCCAAAGAAAAGAGAGTATACGCATGCTTTCTTTGGTACTTTTAAGGATATATGTCTTAATATCTTAGGTGTTAACGTGGGTACTCCATTGCAAAGAAAATTATCACTTTTGGCTATTTTCTTATTTTGGGTTGCAGTTATATTCGCAATTGTAGTAATGGGATCCCAGAAGATGATTGTAAACAAGGAAGTTGCTATATATGCAATTTGTGTTGCATTATCGATGATTCCTTCTGCATTAATTGTTGTGTTAACTATTACAATGGCAGTAGGTGCACAAGTAATGGTACAGAAAAATGTCATTGTTAGAAAATTGGACTCTTTAGAAGCTTTAGGTGGTATCAATGATATTTGTTCAGATAAAACTGGTACATTAACGCAAGGTAAAATGATTGCCAAGAGAGTATGGATCCCAAATGTCGGTACTTATTCAGTTGACAATATGAATGAACCATATAATCCAACAGTCGGAGATATGTCTTTCACCAAATACAGTCCAAAGTATGCTAAAGAAGCAGATGAAGAAATCAATTTTTTGCCTAATTTGCCCGAGCAAGCAAAAAATTTTGAAAATTGGTTATATACTGCAACGTTAGCTAATATTGCTACAATCAATCAATCCAAAGATGAAGAGTCAGGTGAATTGGTCTGGAAGGCTCACGGTGATGCTACCGAAATTGCAATCCAAGTCTTCACCACCAGATTAGATTACGCTAGAGTATCATTACAAGATGGTTTTGAACATATAAGTGAATACCCCTTTGATTCCACGATTAAAAGAATGTCAGCGGTCTATAAATCTAAGTCAAATGGAGAAACCATGGTTTATACAAAGGGAGCTGTTGAAAGGGTCTTGAGTATTTGTACGCATTGGTTAGGTCATTCGGATAATTATGATGAAGACTACGATGCTAATTATGACAATTCTAAACCAATTGAATTGACAGAAGATGATAAAGCTATGATTGAAGAAAATATGAATGCATTATCTGCACAGGGTTTGAGAGTCTTAGCATTCGCTAGCAGAAATGCGACTGATTCGCAAGATGATTTGAGCGACAGAGAACAAGTCGAAAAAGGCTTAACTTTTCAAGGCTTGATCGGTATATATGATCCACCAAGAATTGAAACTGCAGATTCTGTTAAAAAATGTCATAGAGCAGGTATTAATGTTCATATGTTAACTGGTGATCACCCGGGTACTGCTAAAGCAATCGCTCAAGAAGTAGGTATTTTACCTCACAATTTATATCATTACAGTGATGATGTTGTTAAATCAATGTGTATGACTGCTAATGAATTTGATGGATTAACTGATGAAGAAATTGATAATTTGCCAGTTTTACCATTAGTTATTGCTAGATGTGCACCACAAACTAAGGTTAGAATGATTGACGCCTTACATCGTCGTAAGAAGTTTGTTGCCATGACAGGAGATGGGGTTAATGACTCCCCATCTTTAAAGAAGGCTGATGTTGGTATTGCAATGGGTCTTAATGGTTCAGATGTTGCAAAAGACGCATCTGATATTGTTTTGACGGATGATAATTTCGCCTCTATTTTGAACGCAATTGAAGAAGGTAGAAGAATGTCTTCCAATATTCAAAAGTTCGTCTTACAATTGTTAGCAGAAAATGTTGCGCAAGCTTTATATTTAATGATTGGTCTAGTTTTTATTGATAACTCTGGATTTTCTGTTTTCCCATTATCCCCTGTTGAAGTCTTGTGGATTTTGGTGATTACATCATGTTTCCCAGCTATGGGATTAGGTCAGGAAAAAGCCAGTGATGATATTTTAGAAAAACCTCCAAACAGCACTATTTTCACTTGGGAAGTTATTATAGATATGCTTGCATATGGTCTCTTTATGGCTGTTTCTTGTATTTGTTGTTTTGTGATTATTGTCTACGGTGTTGGTGATGGTTATTTAGGAATTGATTGTAACGCATCAGATACCCATTGTGATTTAGTTTTCAGAGGTAGATCTGCTTCATTCGCTACTATGACGTGGTGTGCTTTAATTTTGGCATGGGAATGTGTCCATCAAGACAATTCCTTATTTTACATGAGAAGAGATACTGATAATCCATGGTGGAAGCAAACTGCGATCGATTTATGGGACAACCAATTTTTGTTCTGGTCAATTATTGGTGGATTTGTTAGCGTTTTCCCAGTTGTTTATATCCCTGTTATAAACAATGATGTTTTCTTGCATAAGGGTATTGGATATGAATGGGGTATTTCTGTTGGTTTTAGTTTATTATTCTTACTCTCTTCTGAAACCTGGAAGTGGATGAAGAGAATTTACAAGCGTAAGCAAACCAAGAAAATCCAAAACCCTGAATATGATTTAGAAAGAAACGATCCATTTCAAAAGTACGCATCTTTCTCGAGGTCTAATACTTTTGATAAGAATACCGTTATCGTCTAAATTTAGGATGTTATTTAATTCTTCTATAATAATTTCATTTTACACTCAAATATAGTATATTACTCTTAGATTTTTAATACATTATAAATATTCTATTGATATAATTATAGCGTAAGCTACCTCAATAATTGTTCTTTTACTTCTAATTGTGCACCCAAATGATCGGTGTTACCAAATATATGAATGGTACCTCTACCATCTTGTTTGTTAATATCGATTACCGAAACCGATGTATTGAATGGAACTTTCAAATCCTTAGGTCTTAAGGATGTACTTAAGCCATACTCTTTTATGTCATAAAGATAGTTGATGAAGGCAGTTATGACTCCTCCATGAGTGCAGATTCCATAATTTGAATAACCCTTAGTTTCACTAAGCTTCACAATGCGATTCCACTCGCCGTCAACCCTCATTAATAAATCTTCTTTAGACTCACCCATGTTCCTAAAATTTTCACCATACTTTGCAAGCGCATCTTTAAGGTACATCCCTTGCACAATCCCCATTTCTCTTTCTCTTAAATTTGATGATTTTCTAACTTCTATGTCACCATGATATTTAAGTATTTCCTTGCTTGTGTTTTGGCATCTTATTAAATCAGAAGTTGTAAAACCATCAAACTTTATACCTTTTAAGGCTTCTCCGACTAGTTGCGATTGATTAAGTCCTGTTTTATTGATGTCTATATCTAGATGACCTTGCAAGATCTTTTGCACATTATGATCAGTTTGACCATGCCTTATTACGAAAATGCGGAGTATATTGGGGTCTGAGTTTAATTTAACTTCTTTAGTCATGTTCTATTATATATATGTACTGAAAAATATCAAATTTTAAATTTTATTTATCGAGATAAAAAAATCTCGTCTATAAAGGAGCGACTTTAATCAACGTCAATTTGCAGTATTTCATATCAGTTGGCCTTTTTCATTGAATCAGCCTGCATCTTAAAATCATGGAATACTTCCTTCTTTATTTTGAACCCATGATCGTCTGCAAGAGGAAATTTTCCATGTTGTAGATCTTTTTTGTAAGTATTTAGTGAGCGCTGAGCACTAGAGAAGAAATCATTATATTGCTTGACAAATTTCGGTTTCATTGAGTTTTTAGGGTCTCCCATCCCGAGCAAATCGGACATGACCAAGACCTGACCCGAACAAGCTGGACCTGCACCGATACCAATGGTCGGTATGGATAAATTATTAGTAATATATTCGGATAATTTGTTGGGTATGCATTCTAGAAGAAGCGCAAATGCACCTGCCTCTTGCAAATCCAAACAGTCCCTATAGATCTCAAGAGCTTTCTCTGTACTATTTCCCTGGACTTTAAATCCACCCAACGCATTATGGCGTTGTGGTGTCAATCCAACATGAGCCATAACAGGAATACCTACGGAAGACAATTTCTTAACAGTAGGCACTATATCACTTCCTCCCTCGATTTTCACAGCTTGAACTTTCCCGTATTTGACCAACTTTATAGCTGAAGAGACTGCCTGTTCCACTGATATTTCAGTACATCCAAATGGTATATCAGCAACAATAAAAGACAGTTTATTACCTCTAAGAACAGCTTTTGTATGGTACAAAAATTCGTCGAATGGAATTTCTGTAGTGTCTTCATAACCCAAAGCAACCATAGCTAATGAGTCTCCAATTAAATTGATATCTATATCGGCACATTCAGCATACTTACCTGTTATATAATCGTACGCAGTTACCACTGATATAGGACTCTTAGTCTCGTAAAGCCTTTGGATGTCTAATAATGTCTTCCGTTTAACATCAGTCTGATACGATGATCTAATTATAGACTTAGTACTGAAGTATCTTAAACGAGCTATATTCTTGACTTGACTTCGAAATAGAACCATCACTGTAGTTACCTGAGCTAATCGTATTTGCTTTATCAATGGATTCGTTTTGGATTCATTCGTTTTTGGTGCATTTTTTTTGGGTGCATTTGGCAGCGAATATTTAAACGAGCTAGATCTAAACGATTCCATTAGAATTATCTATTTTTCTTTAATACTATACTACAAGTATACACATCGAAAATGCCTTCTTTTAACAAATCATTTGTGATGAATCACACATGTCTTCGTATCAAAGACCCAAAGGTTTCAATTCCATTTTATACCGATATTCTTGGAATGAAATTAATTGCCACCTTACCCTTCCCTGATAGTAAATTCACATTGTACATGTTAGCATATGACAATGGAGACAATGACAACGATTTAAGCTGGTCTGCGAGGGAAGGTGTACTCGAATTGTGTCATAATCATGGTGTTGAAAACGATGAATCCTATAAGTTGAATAATGGAAACGGAGACGAGTTTAGAGGATTTGGACATATTTGTGTTTCGGTTGATAATATTGAAGCTGCTGAAGCTCAGTTATTAAGCAATGGAGTTAAATTCCAGAAAAAGTTAAGTGATGGTAGACAAAAGACCATTGCTTTCGCCTTAGATCCAAACGGATACTGGATCGAATTAATAGAGAACGGACAAGGCAAAGTCTCGAATAAGACTGATTCTACTAATTACAAGCTTAACCACACTATGATAAGAGTCAAGGACCCAAAGAAATCCTTAGATTTCTACCGTAACGTTTTAGGTATGAAATTGTTCTCAACCAGTGTTCATGAAGGTGCAAAATTTACCCTTTACTTTTTAGGCTATGAACATGATCCATCTTTCAAGGAAGACACTCTTTCTAGAGAAGAACAATCCAAGAAACAAGGAGTGATTGAATTGACCCATAATTGGGGTACTGAATCGGACAACGAGTTTAAAGGTTATCACAATGGTAATTCAACTGAAAATGGTGCTATACAAGGTTATGGACACACCTGTGTTTCCTGTAATGATCCTTCCAAATTCTGTGAGGAGATCAATGCTGAATTTGGCGAAGCAAATATTGATTGGGCTGTTCAATGGGGTAAAGGTGGAATAAAGCAACTTGCTTTTATTAGAGATCCGGATGGATACTCCATTGAAATTATAAATTCCGTGTTCAAGCAATAACTATCCCTCCAGCAGAATATTTCTTCGAATATTCTAACGAAATACCATATATAGTGTCTATAGGGTAGCAATCTACATCAATTCGTCTATATCTAAGCAGATCTAATAATCTGGTCACATGATGTGGCTAATTTGAATCCATAGCAAGTGCATAGGCTCTTACTAATTATATCATATATTTAAATACAAGGTTTTTTTGCTTTTACATGATTTCTAGTGTATTTAGACGTTATATAACTACTACAAGAATGGTCTCTCAACAAACTACCGACAAGGTTCAACAATTGATTAAAACTAAGCCAATTTTTATTGCTTCAAAGGTATGTACTCCGGATGGACATTAATGCCACAGCTTGAAAGGCAAATTCCTCTAAAACTGAACAACCATTACTAACACATCATCAGTCTTACTGCCCATACTGTGCTAAGACTAAGAACACCATTTCATCTATTACTAAGGATGCTTACATCATTGAGTTAGATGAAGTAGAAGATGGAAGTGAAATTCAAGAGGCTTTATACGAATTGACTGGACAAAAGACCGTTCCAAATGTTTTCATTGGAGGTGAACACATTGGTGGTAACTCCGATGTTCAAGAATTGAATTCTACTGACAAATTGGAAAGCAAGGTCAAGGCTGTTTTATAAATGGTTTGATATACGAAATATATTTACTTAATTAAATGCTTCTTAGATGTACAGATACTACAAGTACTATAAGCCAATATATGATTATCTATAGTTGAATACGTATTAGAATAAACTAGTATTTTCAAAAATATAAAAATGTAGCTTATTTCGAAATCTTAAAATTTTGCCTCTTTAATTATACATAATACTGAATATCGCTAAGCGTAATATTCAACCGTGCCATACATAGCGTAATGCACAATGACTAGTCATCTCTAGTTGTGTCAGTGTCTAGGTATGTCTACCGTTGACCTTTATCCATTAGTCTGACGTGCGCGAACCCATAATGTAGTGATTGAAAAATTTCGGTAAAGAATTTACCTCTGATAAAGTTAAGTAGTGGTACTAGATACATAATTAGGTAAAATGTCTAACGTCGGCTTACAAATTCGTCAGTCAGTTCCTTCGATTGACCCAGTTGTGGCAGATTACGCAGTTGGATATATTCAGCATGTCTCACACTCAACTGAAGACAGTGTTTCTGCTCAACTGGTAGATATTAACAGTGAAATGGAATTTATAAAAGAATTATTGATTGATGCTGGTGGTTCTGATGAGAAAGTTTCACAATTAGCTAAGAATTTAGCTGAACAACTAAATACAAAACTTAAAGAAAATATGGCAAAGTTAGAAGTTACTGGTGATACTTCGAGAAGATTATTGGACGTTAATTTATTACGTCAAAATAATTCAAAGAGAGATATCAACTCCTCGTTAGCATTGTTAAATGCTAGTAATGATATTGAACATACTGGAAGAAAGATGGAAAGTAGAGTTGACATGAAAAAGTTGGAGAAACAAGAAAGAAAAATTGCCAAAAAGGTGGCTAAGAGAAATAATAAATTTGTTCAATACGAAGCTTCTAAATTACTTAACGAAAAGAAAGATGAAGATTATGATTCCTTTTTCCTTGAAATCAATCCTCTTGATTTTGGTTCGAGTGCAGGAAAATCTAAAGATATCAAACTTGATAACTTCGATTTATATGTTGGTGACGGTCAAAGAATCTTGAGTGAAGCTTCATTGACTTTGGCTTACGGTAGAAGATATGGTTTGGTTGGTCAAAATGGTATCGGTAAATCTACATTATTAAAGGCGTTATCGAGAAGAGAATTGAATGTTCCGAAACACATTACAATTTTACATGTGGAACAAGAAATTAGAGGAGATGATACTTCAGCCTTGCAAAGTGTTTTAGATGCCGATGTTTGGCGTAAGAGTTTGTTACTGGAAGAAGCAAAGATATCTGAAAGAATAAGTGAAATTGAAAAGTTGAGATCTGAATTCGATGAAGAATCAAATGAAGTTATAAAATTAGATAATGAAAGAGAAGATTTGGATAAGCACTTGCAAGAAGTTAATGAAAAATTATATGAAATGGAATCCGATAAAGCTGAAAGTAGAGCTGCCGCAATCTTGTATGGTCTTGGATTTACAAAAGAAACGCAACATATGGCCACAAAATTATTCTCTGGTGGTTGGAGAATGAGATTGTCATTAGCTAGAGCCTTGTTCTGTGAGCCTGATTTATTATTATTGGATGAACCCTCCAATATGTTGGATGTTCCATCTATTACTTACTTGGCGAAATATTTACAAGGTTACAAATCAACGGTGTTAGTAGTTTCGCATGACAGAGCATTTTTGAACGAAGTGGCTACAGATATTATTCATCAGCATTCAGAAAGATTAGATTACTATAGGGGATCCAATTTCGATTCGTTCTATGCATCGAGAGAAGAAAGAATCAAAAATCAACGTCGTGAATATGAAAATCAAATGGCATACCGTCAACACTTGCAAGCTTTCATTGATAAATTCAGATATAATGCTGCCAAATCTTCCGAAGCACAATCGCGTATTAAGAAATTGGAGAAATTACCAATTTTGGAGCCTCCAGAAGATGATAAGGTAGTTACATTCAAGTTCCCAGACCCAGATAATATATCGCCTCCTATTTTGAGAATGGAGGATGTCACATTTGGATATGATCCTTCTAAAATCTTGTTAAAGAATGTTGATTTGGATGTGCAAATGGATTCACGTATTGCCTTCTGTGGTGGTAATGGTACTGGTAAGACTACATTATTGAAATTATTAATGGAAAATTTGACTCCATTAAGTGGGTTTGTTACAAGAAATGGAAGATTGAGAATTGGTTATTTTGCCCAACATCATGTTGATGCGATGGATTTAACTCTTTCGGCTGTTCTGTGGATGTCGCAAACTTTCCCTGGTAAATCAGATGAAGAATACAGACGTCATTTGGGTTCTTTTGGTATCACTGGCTCCTTGGGTTTACAGAAAATGCAGTTGTTATCTGGGGGTCAGAAATCTAGAGTTGCATTTGCAGCGTTATGTTTAAACCAACCTCATATCTTAATTTTGGATGAACCTTCTAACCACTTGGATACCCAAGGTTTAGATGCCTTAGCTGATGCATTGATTAACTTCAAGGGTGGTGTTTTGATGGTTTCGCACGATGTTTCTATTATTGATAGAGTATGTAATGAAATCTGGGTCAGTGAAAACCAATCAGTTAAAAGATTTCCTGGTAATATTAATGATTATAAGAAACACATTTTGGCTGCTGCTGACGAGGCTGGTGTTGTTAGTAAACATTGATCACAACGCATTCTATTGCATAGTATATATATATATTTATTTATATATATCCATTATAATATCACTAATATTAAATGCAACTGTATTGTAGATTTCGGTGTCCCTCTATAGTAATTCCTCGTGCATATTATCTCAAATAACCAAATTTAAAATATTGCGATTAGTGTACAGTTACTATAGACGTTTAACCTGGCATATATCATGGTTACTAGTCTATTTTCGTTCAAAGCGAAGGTTGGTCTAGGTCTCTTATTATCATATACCTCATTCGAGGTTTACATGCATTTAAGGACGAAGCACATTATATCGCAAAGGAAACAGGAATACGAGAAGTTTAGTAGCACTTCGGGTACAAATTCTATAGATAAGGATGTTGATTTTAGCAAATTCAAGTCAGCTACGGTTGCTGGTATGTTTGTTAATCCTTTTGATGAGTATAGGCCACAGACAGCATTTGAGTTTCTCCTTGTTCGTATAATGGAAGCATTTGAGAGTCTTTATGGGAATCTGATAGAATTGCATAAGAAGGTTACCGAAGATGGTGCTAGTGATGTCGAGGGAGTTTTGCATTCATATAAACCGGATCTAGAATTACTAAGACAAAACTCAGTATTATTACAGAACTGTATAAGTAAAAATAATTTCAACAACTTGACGAGTTCTTATAATGGATGGCTTAATGTGTTTCCCACGAAGTCACTCCCACCCTTAGGAGAACAAATGATATTCACTTGGTTAGGACAATCTTGCTCATTGGTGCAAATCTCTGGTATAAACTTTTTGACTGACCCAATTTTGAGTAAGCATTTGATCACTGAATCTTTTGGACCAAAAAGATTGATCCCATCTGCGATGTCATTCGAAGATATTAAATACGCTACCAATAACAATATCAACTTCACATTAGTATCGCATGATCATCCGGACCACTTGGAAATGAATGTTGTTAGAAAAATTGGTAATTCAACTACATGGATCTTGCCATTGGGGCTAAAAAAGAAGTTTGCCAGAAATGGTATATATAACGTTATTGAAATGGATTGGTGGGATTCCGTACCATTAAACCGTTATATTAGTAGTGAGTCTAATTTGACTGATAATTATGAAATTGTCTGTGTCCCAGCCATGCATTGGTCTGGAAGATACATATTTGATTCGAATACCACATTGTGGTGTTCATATATAATCAAGCGTAACGGTGAAGCATTATTATATCATGCGGGTGATACAGGATATCTGAAGGAACTATTTGATATTATTGGAGAGAAGTACTCCCCAATAAATTTATCTTTATTACCTATTGGTCAGTATTGTCCATCATGGCATCAGAAACCAAGACATATTTCTCCTCAAGAATCGTTACAAATCTGTGACTCTGTCTCCTCAAAATTTATGATGGGTATTCATTGGGGAACATTTAAGCTTAGTAGCGAACCTATTCTAGAGCCAAAGCATTTATTAGAAAAATATGCAGCCTTAATGGGCAAATCCGACAGCTATAGAGCACCACATTTAGGATTGACTTACGTTTATGATTTAGAAAAAAACAGTATAATCGAACGCTGATATAGATATGTGTATATCCTTACATAAGTGGTCGGTATTGATTACCTATTATTATAACATACAAGAAAGCTAAAAACTGATATTCTTTTCGAATTGTATTTACATATTTTTCAATTTTCACCTCTTTTACTATTTCCAAACCATTTCAGTTTCCTACTATATAACCAGCTGACACCTGCGTCTATTCGTTTCTGTAAATAGCTCTCAATTTAGCTTGTTGCGAGTGAATCATAGCTCTTTGGTAGGCTTGGAAATCCGCATCCGATCTGATCACAGATCCGATAGACATAAACAACCCAAAAGTACCAACTGAACCCATAATGTATTGACCCAATGTTCTCATCACACCGTTTGGTCCGGCACCGTTTTGTAAAATAGAAAACCCTCCAAATAAAACACCAACACAGACTCCGACAGTGGAACCCATTATGGCACCCATTTTGAATTTTTCAAAGTTTGATGGTTGCTGAGCAGCATATTGATACTGTTGAACAGGTGGCATACTTTCAGATATTAATCAAGATATATCCGTTTCTAATTATAAGCGGAAGTCTGACAGCTTAAGCAATTATTTCAATCAGGAGTTAGTAAATTTTTTATCAACACATTTTTGGTAAAATCCACACGACCCTCCAACCAACTATGATCAGCGTAAAAGCCATGGAATTATTATAGGTTGTAAAGCAATTTAAGTAAAACCAAAGATTAAAAGCATAAATTATCATAATGGGTTCATCAGCTTCTAAACCAGAGACTAAAGTTTTCACTCCATCAACACCAATTGATTTCAGTGCTTCATTTTTGTCACAGTTAGAAAATTCAACTGAAGTGAGTATTTATCTACACGAATCTTGAATTTAAAGTAAAATACTAACATTAATAGTCTGACTATTCTCGTGCCCAATACACTGAAAAATACATTCAGGATAGAGTTGCCGCAGAGTTAAGGAAATTAGAGCAAGAAACTGTCAAGAACTTTCAATCAGTAACTAATGATTCATTGATCAAAGACAACAAGCCGGGTTTATCTGTCACTACATCAAATGAAAAGCTTGAAAAATTAACAAAACTCTTAGAAGAGAACGCTAAGTTGGCCAAGGTTGAAGTCAGCAAAGAAGTGCAAGATGCTAGAGGAGAAGTTATCAAATGTTTGAAAGATAATAAGGGAAAAAGCTTGAACTGCTGGGAGGAAGTAGAAGCTTTCACAAAATTAATTAAAGAATTATAGTAATTTATTAGAAAAATAAAAAAAGAGTATAAAGTTAGACATGAAAGTATGACTATTTATAAAATGTAACGATAATAATACTAATGTAGGCTTCTAGTAAATTTATAATCCTGTGCCCTTGTATACTAAAATCAAAGCACTATCACTTTCCCCGCCACCGGCTAACGTTTCGATTTTTTCTCTAGTAACTGAGCTCACCTTGTCATCATTAAATCTCCACCACTTATTTCCATCCAAATCACTCTGATCTTTAACAAACGATTGATAATGACCCGAATCAGCTGATGAACCACTGTGTGTAATGATAGCACTAAGTTCGTAAACTGAAGATGGGTTTTCGGTTGTTTCCTCCAAGTTGATGTTCGAAGGTAATACTTGCTTCAAATCATCATTAAATTTGGACTTAATTGAAAGCAACTTCATGTTTTCCTCTTCTTGTTGCTCGATTGGGTTCAATGTAGACTCGCTTTTAGACTTCTTGAAGTCACGAATCATGTCTAAGTTCTCCTTTTCAACTTTTCTGATTTTGTCTCTTATAGACACTTTTTCCTCTTTAATTGATTCATCTAACATATCAGCTACATCTAACTCAAATGGAAATTGAACCCTTCTTAAAATTTTCGATTTTTTTTGTGTATCTCTCCTCCAGAAAAACCTAACGAAATGAACCGTCAAGAATTTTGGTAACCTAGTTATAGTTCTCTTTAATTCATACTCCGTGTTAGATTGTAATGTATCATTATACTTTTCTATAGATTCCTTTAAACCATCTAAAATCCCATCTTTCAAGAAATTTGTTTTAATATTTATATGACAGTTGAGTTTAAAAGCGTCTTCGTAGTCAACCTTAGGAGCTTCTTCTGGTAATGCTAAGCATTTCTGTTCCGTCTTGAAAGATAATCTGAAAAGATCACCGACCTTTAATGTTTGATTCAACGCATTTAATATTTGGGAAAATGCCTCCTCTGCATCTTGTTGCTTAAAAAAACCTCTTTCTTGTTCCGCAAATTGGGGGTACACATTTCTAAAAAGAGTCAAGAATAACATTGGATTAACACTTTCATGTTTCTTCAACATTTGCTGAAAAACTCCTTTTAATGAAACCGTCAATGACTCAGTAGGATTTCTGTTGATCGCATTTGATGATTCAAATTTAGTTAATTTGTCAGTCACTTCGTTGATTTGGAATAAAGTTTGCAAAGATGAGTTCAAGTAACAAGTATTACCTAAGTTTACTAACCCAGATGGTTCCATTCCAACCTTAGTTAACTGATTCTGGTTCAAATCTTCTATGAATACATGCTTTTCTGCTGGCTTAGATGGCAATCCCTTGTCCGGAGTTCCCAAAACCATAATCGGTTGTTTCAAATTTAAATTTAACGATGACACCGTAACATCATCATTTAATTTACCTCCTTTTATCAAAATCTTTTGTCTTTCGGTAGGAATATTTGTCAATTCGTGTATCTTTTCTTTGAACTTTAATCCAGTAGCATTTGATTCAAGCTCAATATCATACAATTTCCCCGCGTTCTTGATAGAAACTAAGACTGGTTAATATGCTGTTGTGTTACTAACAAGTAATACTATACTTACTATTAAAGGTTGACATTTTTATGCTTCAATTGGTTGTTTAAATATAATGTTGTGGCAAAAGCATGTTTTATGGTTGTTTCTTGGTAGTGTGTTACCCAATCATGTATTAGGATATCAAATGGCGGAACATCATATAAGTCTTGAGTTGATATGTAACTATTTGTCCCTCTATTGCATTAATTTGGAGTAGTTTATAAGTTCTTGCTTTTCGGTACCAATAGCATTGTATAAGTATAAATTATAGTTCGATATCAAAAGTATAAAAAAATATACCAATCTCCCGGGGGTGAGTCGAACACCCGATCTCAAGATTACTTTGAGGTACTCATTACAGTCTCGCGCCTTAGCCAGCTTGGCCACCGAGAGGAATTGGATAGTAAGAATTTTGGACTACTTGGCCATATGATACTTAATGATACTTGAATTATTGCAACAAATAGTAAAACATATGGACTACAACGGTGATTTGTCGAAAACACATTTTATTATTAAATTTTGAGCATACGCTATATAAATAGAGAATAAATATTAGAATATAGTTTAAAAAAATTACAACGAATTTACCAAATTATAACCCAAAGTACAAATACCAGTAAAACCAGTCCAGGCAGCCCATAATGGATTAGGACCATTATATCTTACGTCTCCAGTTCTACCAAACCAAACATTACCATTGTGACTGGTCATAGAACTTTGTATAAGCTTGTCCTTCTTGTCATTAAATGGAGGATATCTGGCAGCCAAGGCAAAATCGTTATACAAAGGTTGTTCCATGGTAGTTCTTTCGTGAGTAAAAGCACGGAAGGAGTAATAACCATGATAAGCACCTTGACCTGATGTACCAACACCACCAATTGGGGCATTGGTTAAACTAAAGTGCATAATGACATCATTGACAATTGCACCACCCGATCTAATTGAAGTCAAAATTTGATCAACTTGAGGGTTCTTTCTAGAGGTAGGACCACTAGTAAAAATGTACTGAGCCAAAGGGAAATCATGATGCTTGATTACTTCTGTAGTAGCTAATGATAAATCTGTATAAGTTAAAACTGGTAACAATGGGCCAAATAATTCGGCCTTCATTGTGGAGTCATCCCAGGAACAATTATCAATAATAGTTGGCGAGAGAAATCTAGTTGATTCGTCTCTTAAACCTCCAACAACAATATCACCCTTTGTATCATCAAGGGTTTTACTCAAATTAGCAAATGCCCTATCATGAATCAAATGAGTATAGTTTTTATCATCCTTGGTCAACGAGCCGTAGAAATCTTCTTCGATTACTTTTATCATAGCCTTGACCAATTTATCTTTAACCGAAGCATGGGCTAAAACATAGTCAACTGCAACACATGTTTGACCACAATTGGTAAATCTACCCCAAACAATTCTTCTGGCGATTGTTGGGATATCTTTATCCTTAACATCGTCCAAAACAAAACATGGAGACTTACCACCTAATTCCAACAACACTGGAGTCAATGTCTCAGCAGCCTTCTTGGCGATTATAGTTCCGACCATAGTGCTACCAGTATACATTATCTTATCGTACTTCTGTTCCAAAGCCTTTGTGGTTTCAGGAATAGCACCGTTGATGGCGTAGAAAATATCATCATCTAAAGCCTTCGAAACAATATCACAAAAAAGCTTAGAGAAGTGAGGTGTCAGTTCACTGGGCTTGAACACAACCACATTTCCCCCCGCAAGAGCTGCTACTATCGACGAGAGCGAAAGCAAAAATGGGTAATTGAAAGGCGAAATAACCAAAACTGTTCCCAATGGAACCCTCTCGATGTATACAGGGGTGGTTTTCATCGAAACTGGCAAATCAGTAACCTTTTCGGGTTTGACCCACTTGTGCAAGCTCGACATAACGTGCAACAACTCACTGAGACCTCCGGTAATCTCCAAATTCTTGGTTTCTGAAGGCAGTCTGTAGAAGTCCTTGTACAAAGCGTCACAGATAGGATCCACATTGTCCTTCACTGCAAAATAAAGATTTCTCAATTGATTCAACCTGAACTGGATTGAATGCGTCTTACGGGTCTTGTGGAATGACTCTGTCAAACGAGCAACTCTAACTGGAATCTCGTCCAATGGTGTATATGGCAAAACACCTTCTTGTGTATCTTTTCCCACTCCATTGCCTCCTGATGTTGCAACAGGTCCTTCATGCTCCAATTTATTTTTGACGCTATCCGAGGTATTCGTTTTGCCGTTTAGCTTTTGGGACGCAACATTAACGCCTGCTCCTTTTTTTTCCTTATTACTTGGTGCCATTTTATTTCCCTAATAATATTTCTGATATTATATATGTGGTTATTGTATAAATAACTCACTTTTTGCCACTACAGGGGATATTCTGTTCTTTATATATCGTCTCCACTATTATCTTCACATGTATATAGCGGACTTAAAATGCTCGTGATAATATCAACAATTTTTGGACGTGTATAATACAATTATTTTTGTTAGAGAAAGTACAGAGGGATACAAGTTTCTAATCTTATCTACAGAATTTAAGTAATCAGAGCTATACTAGTTACTAAAGTTAATATATCGAATTTAGTTGTCCAGAAATTGATCATTTAATACGTGGGAAGGTTATACGATTGTCGTATTATATTAATTGAGTTGCACAACAATACATTTTTATGTATTATCAATGGAGTGACCTTTTAGGATACCAGTAGAATATTGCAAAAAATTCCAAAATGTCACTTGAAAACAACAATTCGCAAGATATTGGGGGTATAAATATGGTATTAAGTCCAAGACCGCAGAAAGCGAGTGGGAGTAGGACGCATATGTCGAAAAGTGGTGGTATGGCGAAGGGAGAAAAAGACGGTAAAGATGGGCGAGAAAACAAGTCTGTGTTGACGGTAAAACCAGCGCCAAATTTGAAATCTTGTTTATTGCCTAGCAGCGATGTTTCGAGGCCACAGCTGTCTCAAAGTGTCGGGTTTGGAGGTGAAATGCCACCGGGTGGTGTATGTATGGGCCACCACGCGCATGCTTCGTTTGCAGAGCCGGAGGACGATATCAGTCCCAATAAGCATGGGTTATTATCTTTGAATAAGATGGGAACGGCCTCTACGTCGCCTGGTGAGAACGTAGCCCAATCGCATGTGCCAAATATGAATTACAATTGTGAAGGTCCTAGAAGTACGTCCCCGTCAAATTCCACGCAGGGACAACATGAATACGTTAGTCCACCGCTGATGACCAGAATGAATTCATTGCGATATTCGGGACAAAATGATAAGAAAATCATCGAGTCTATGAGACAGTCGAAAACGACTAGCCCATCGCCCATCAGCTCGCCAAATCCTGATATTAAAAAATCAGAAACTCCTGAACAGAGAACTAAGGATAAATTGCACTTATTGATTGGTATCACTGGATGTATCTCGGTTAATAAGAATATATTCTTGATAATTGAGAAATTGTTCGACATGTACACGCCGGAGAAGTTAGAGATTCAGGTAGTGTTAACCAAGGCGGCGGAATGGTTCTTGAGTGAAAAATTGTATAAATTTGAAGCAATGGGTGTCAAGGTATGGTTTCATGATGACACTTTTAAATATTTCCTCACCAATAAAATAACAACAAACCCAAACAAACCGTTAGTTAAATTAACACCAAGCTTATTGAGTCAATACATTTTGAGTTACGATCTTCAGAAATGGACTGATGTGTTATTGATCGCGCCATTATCCGCTAACACGATGGCCAAGTTAGTTAACGGATTGTCGGATAATCTCTTGACTGATTTACTTCACACATGGCCTATTCCTCTGGCTAATTATCCACAACAACAGCAAAAAGCTGGCAACCAACAACACGATAACACCGTATTGTCGAACAACTTACTAGCACCAAAGCCAATCGTAGCTGCATTGGCTTTGACTAGTTCTATGTATGCACATCCGATAACAAAAAGACAATTGTCTCTTTTGCAAGAATCCTACCCTAACATGAGTATATTAAAACCAGTGGAGAAGTGTGTCGATATTGATGGTAATATATCAATGGGAGGTATGAGGTCTTGGACTGAAGTTGTTGACTTTGTTCTGAAAAAATTGGGCGAGCCAAGTAAGAATGAAGATGAAGAAGGTGAAGATGATAATGATGACGACGATGACGATGACGATGAAGATGAAGATGAAGATGAAGATGATGAAGATGACGATGATGACGATGATGACGATGATGACGATGATGAAGATGACGATGATTCGGAAACTATGGTCATTAGAAATGAAAACAAGGTGCGTCATAATCTACGTGACAGTAAAAAGGTTCATCCTAAACCTGAAAGAACTATAGAGTCATCCAACAAAAAAGTTTCAAATAAAGAACTTAAAGAGCATGAGAAACTAGCTCTTCAAAATGCTATTAAAAATTCTAGCTTAGGAGTTAATCAGTCTGGTATAAATAATTAATAATGCCTCATATGTATAGTATGTATAGTATGTATTATATTTATTGCATATTTTGTAAAAAGGTTGCACTTAATTTTGTGGAGTAAAAATGAATGATCTTTTAAGAACGAGAATTGAAAAGAATCAGAAATAAGTATAACTCATTGAGTAATTATAGAAAAACTATCTTGAATTATGAAAGCATTCCAATTTGATCCCAGTACGTTCTCTAAGGAGGAAATTTTCATTGGTGGTATCTCAACCTATTTGTATAATACTGAGGCCCTTGTTCCTTATGTTGAGAAATTCAACGAAAAGGTCGAGCATCATGACCAGAATATTAATAGGAACCAATTCAATGAGTTGCCAGTAAACGTCATTTATTTGATCCACCAAAGATGTGGTGATTATAAATTTACTGAATCGATTGCTTATACGATCTTAAAACAATACTACGAAAAGAAAGAACAGAAAGTTCCATTAATTTGCGTTACATTTGATAACAGAAATCATGGTGCTAGAAAGGTTGATGATTCGAAAAACTCTTCTTGGAAATCCGGTAATGATACACATGCTTTGGACATGATTTCGATGATTGACGGTATCATTGACGATACTAAATTGATTATGACGTATTTGCCAAGCTACTTAAATTTAGAATATCACTTATCCGAGTATGCTAAGGTTCACCATAATACTAGTATTAAATTCTCCAACATCTTGAGTGGTTATTCCTTAGGAGGACATACAGTTATTCGTTTTGCTAACAAATACCCAGAATTAGTTGATATAATCAACCCTGTTGTTGGGTGTAATGATTTGTCTTCGTTATTGATTAACAGACTTTCTAATTCTGAACTCGATTCTCCTAATTTTGACAAGCGCTGGTTCTATTTTGATTATAATGAATTAATGTTAACTGATGAACAAAAGAAATCCATTTATCCCGAGGCATTTCACAAGTATATTTGTCAAGAAGATGGTGAAATATTTGATAACTTTCCTTTCTCCAAGATTAAGATGTTCGCAAGTTTTGGTGAAAAAGATACTCTAGTTCCACCTCGCTTATCGAAGGTTTGGGTTGATGTTTACGAAAACTCAAATTCGACTACGGGTATATATATACAAGAGGGTGTAGGACATGATGTTACACCTGAAATGGTTGATAAATTCACCTCGTGGCTTGTGAATTATATTTAGTTCTTAAATCCTAGAATTGCATGTTAACTCATCTAACGATATCAATTGTTAAATAATCAGTTTAGACTACAAAAAGACATAAATATTACTATCTATATAAGATTCTCTGTGTTTATTTCAATAAATAGAACGATCTTTCGAAGAATCTTCATTATTATACTTTGATTTTGTGTAATTTATTATACCATAAAAGGCATCATGTTTAATTACAAAGTTGAATACGAAGGTATACAAACACCTCATAAAGCATGTTGAAAAGCCAATCAAATACTGGCCATGTAGATGGTTTGCATAACAGCAGTACTCATTATAATGATGAAGTCTCGTCAATATCAAAATCTATAAAGAATGCAGACGAATCGGTTAATTTTATTACCTTTAACCAAGATGCATCTTGTATTGCTCTTGGATTGAATAATGGATACAAGATATTCAACTGTAAACCGAATTTTGGTAAGTGCTATCAATTTAAAAAGAATGAATCCATTGGCAAAATTGAAATGTTATACTGTACGTCATTGATTGCAATTGTTGGATTAGGTGAAGAAGTAGGATCGTCACCCAGAAAGCTTAAGATAATAAATACAAAACGACAGTCGACTATATGTGAGCTCATATTCCCATCGACCATATTGCAAGTTAAATTAAGCAAATCAAGGATGATTATATTATTAGAGGAACAGATATATATATATGACGTAACGACCATGAAATTACTACACACCATTGAAACCAGCCCTAACGGCAATGGCTTGTGTACATTATCTTCTGACAACTGTGATGGTAAGAACAACAGTTATTTGGCATATCCTTCGCCACCAAAAACCATTACTCATGATTCATTATTGGTAAATGGAATTAATACTAATGGCGGGATGAATTCTGTTCAAAATAATGTACAATCGGTAAGTAATAGTCCCAATAGAATTGGGGATGTGATTATATTCAATACCACCACTTTACAACCGCTTTCAGTAATTGAAGCCCATAAATCTGCATTAGCCGCCATAACATTATCCACCGACGGCACCCTATTGGCTACAGCATCGGATAAAGGAACAATTGTGAGGGTATTTTCTGTTGCAACTGGCTTGAAATTATATCAGTTCAGAAGAGGAACTTATCCTACTAAGATATTCTCACTTTCATTTAGTTTTGATAATAAGTATGTTCTTGCGACTAGTTCAAGCGGAACTGTACATATTTTTAGGTTAGGTGAGGACGAATCATTAGAAAATAAGCATAAGAGAAAGAGGAATTCGAAGAAATTGAAACTAAATCCAGAATATGAAACGATAACAGAAGAAAATGAAAACGAAATACAAAAGGAAGACGCAGAAGACGACGATATAATTCAGGACGATGGCGATGACAGTGATGCAGATGACGATGACGATGAATCATTGGAAGTCATACCTAGTAAGCACAGAAAGTTATCTCAAGATTCAAACAATTCATTTACTAGTTTTAATTCTACCTTTAGTAATGACGAAAGCAAGGATAATAAATCAGAACCGTTGATTGATCAAAATCGTTTGTCGGTAGCGCGTCTAATACGAAGATCTTCCCAGACATTGGGAAGAAAAGCGGCTCAAAAAATGGGGGACTTTCTTCCAACGAGGTTCTCATCCATTCTTGAACCTACTAGAAATTTTGCCTCCTTGAAAATCAACTCCGTGAGTAAAGATATCAAATCCATTGCTATTATAAACAACGAAATACAAGAAGATCTAGTTCCTCAAGCATATTTAAATTCGAAGGAAAATAACCCTAGCCCTCCCAAAGATATCTCGGTGAATAATGCTAAGGATTTACTCCCATTAAATTTATTACATATTAATGTTGTAACATCCGAAGGTTATTTTTACACGTACGGCTTGGATCCAGAAAGAGGCGGAGATTGTATATTATTACACCAATATTTCTTATTAGATTAGCGAATAAATAATTTAATTCGATAAGCATCGTATTAATTGTGTTGCAATTTATGCGACTTGTAGAAATGAAAAAAAAAAC